AAAAACACTCCATCTTGGCTTTACTATTTTCCTACTAAATATTTTACAAGCCTTTACCTTCTGTCTCCTAAAAGCTTACTGAGAGACAGAGAAGCAGACTAAATAGATTTGTTATAATTTACTAAAAATTACAATGGCAAGCAACTTTGTATTTTTAGACTGTGGAAAATCTATTTTCACATTTGATGAGAAACAGACACTGTCAAAGGATAAGGGGAAAATCAGAAGGACTTCCCAGGCCACACATAATTAGATCTGCCTCATTTAATCTTCTGTGTAATACAATCATCAAGGCAATTAAGATATTGGTTTGCCATAATCGTAATCTGACATTTGCATGAAATGTCCCTTGCTGTCTTGCAAATAAAATCTAGCTTCAGTAATAGAATATAGTGTCCATCAAGATGGGAGCTAGAGCCAACATGAAAGGCTAATAATGGAAAAATCTCTATGAAAACCCAGCCCTCTTTAATCATTTTTGAGGGCAGTGGAGGATCAGCATATTTGTTCACAAATAGGAGAATTTGTGTATAAAAAAAAAATTCTCAAATTTTAAAAAAGGGAAAACAGGACGAGTAGTGGGATGTGGTCTTCCCAATTCATCTAAGTCCAAAGAAAGGAGTGTTTAGTATTACAATGGCCATGCCAATGAGCACAGAAGCAAAGCGTGTGCATCCACCCATACGACCATACCCATGTCCTGTGATTCCTTTCCTGCATGCCAGACTGAGTCATTACAGGCCATAAAAAACAAGTAGGACCTAGGAGAAGATCCAATGCCTAATGGGAAGCTAGAATTTCCACCCTCGCTCAGCAGTTGGAGGCACATCCCCCTTGGGTGTCAATAAAGGACAAGTGCAGAAACAGGATTTCCACCTCCACCAGGCAGTAACAAGGCAGTGCCCCCTTGTTTCCTGACAGAGCAGAGTTAAAAATAAAGTTCTTAAAATGAGCAAATAATAATCAGGCAGGAAGATTTTCACTGTACACCCTTTGGTACCATCTCAATTATGAACTGTTAAAAATTAGACTTCTAATTCTGAGAAAATGGAGTGGACATACATTTTCTGTTCTTCCTGCTAAGTATAATTAAAAACTCGGGATATTAACTATAAAACAAACACAAGACAGCTCTGAAAAGTGGAGAAAAGAAGACAGACCAGTTAGGGACCTCAGAAAGCAAGAAACAACAGGGTGGTGAGTCCCTGGGTTTCCCTTTTACCTGGTGTAGCACAGCCTTCAGCTGAAGCTGCAACCTGAAAACACCAACAGACACAGACAAGAGATACCTGAACAAAAGCCTACTCTCTCCAGTCAAAGGTACAGAGAAGAGGCAACTACAGACAATAAATGCTCTACTCCCACCAAAAACCACAGGAAAACACCGTGGCCCCACCTCACCCATAAAAGCAAAGGCCAAGCCTGGAGTCTAGATTTCTACCTTTGCCATGCTGTTAATGAAGCACTTCAAATCCTTGCCAGAGTGGTTTCAAAAAGGCTAGGCCAAGAGCTGAGACTTTTATTCTCACTGGGAAGTAACAATATGTCCCTTTCACCCCCTACTAGGGTGTCTGAGAAGGCCTCATGAGAGTAAGGACTATCAACACTGCTCTCAAAGGTAACAACGCTGCTCAGCTTTGAGGTCAGTGCAGGCCTTGTAAGAAGCAGTAATCAACCACTCCTCCACCACCAGACAGGAGCACTCAGTGGAGACCTGGTGAGTAACTGGAATTCCCACCCCTGCCAAGCAGTAATGAGGTACACTCTCCCTGCCTCTCAACAAAGGCCAAGTGGGAACTTGGACTTCTACTCAGCAGTTACTTCTACAGGGTAGTAATAAGGCAGTGCCTCCCTCTTCCCTGCCACAGCAAAGTAAAAAAAATCCCACTAAAACAGAAGGTTTCAATAAGACCGAGTCTCCTAAAACCCAAAATGCCCAATTTTCAATTAAAACTCACTCATCTATTAAGAACCAAGGAGATCCATAGATGCCAACATCAGGATGAGAGAGATCTTAGAATTATTTGACAAATATTTTAAAACAGCCATCATAAAAATGCTTCAACAAGAAATTATGAGCATGCTTGAAACAAATGAAGAAACAGAAAGTCTCAATAAAGATATAAAGAAGAACCAAATAGAAATCTTGGAATTGAAAAATATAATAATCAAAATAAAACTCAATGGATGGGCTCAACAGCAAAATGAAGGGATCTGTGAACTAAAGTCAGAATACTAAATATTACCCAATTTGAATAACAAAGAGAAAACGGACTTGAAAACAGAAAAAGAACAGATTCTCAGGGATCTGTGTAACTACTGCAAAAGATCTGAAATTTTATTATTGGAGTCCTGGAAAGAGAGAAGAAAGAGGATGAGGCTGAAAAAATACTTGAGACGTAATGGTGAAGACTTCTCAAAATTGGCAAAAGATATAAACTTACACATTCAAAAAGGTGCATGAATTCCAAACAGAATACATCATTGTCAAACTTCCAAAATTAAAGACAAAGTAAAATATCTTGATAGCAACGAGAAAGAAATGACACCTTACCTTTAGAGGAAAAACAATTCAAATGACAGCAGTTTTCTGTTTGAGGCTAGAAGTGCCCTGACATTCTGAAGTACAGAAAGAAAACTAACCTAGAATCTTATATACTACAAAAATATCCTTTAGGAGGTAAAAGGAAATCAACACATTCTCAGAGGAACAAAACAAAGAGACTTTATCACCAGCAGACATATCCTAAAGAAGAGCATTTAAAGGAAGCTCTCTAAACTAAAAGGAAAAATAAAAGAAGGAATCTAGGAACATTAGGAAGGAAAAAAGAACACAGTAAATAAAACACGAGTGACTACAATATAGTTTTTTTCTTGAATTTTCTAAATTTTGACAGTCAAAGAAAAAACTGTAATACTACTATTGTAGATCTAATTGTATGTAGAGAAATACTTAAAAAAACAGTTACATTATTAATGCAAGAGAGTAAAGGAGCATAAAGGGAGTTGTGGTTTTTACACTTAAACCTGTAAAATGTCAACACTAGTACCATATACCATACTCACTGCCGTCGAGTTGAACCCAACTCATAGTGAACCCTCCTTGGGTTTCCAAGGCAGTATCACTATGGAAGTAGATTGCCCAACCTTCCTTCCAAGGAGTGGCTTGTGGGTTTGAACCACCAGCTTCTGGTTAGCAGTCAAATGCCTTAGTAGATTGTGATAAATTATACACATACCCACACACACACAATACTTAGAGCAACCACTAAAAAAGCTATGAAAACACTACAGATAAAACAGAATTATAAAAAAAGTTCAAATAACTAACAGAAGGTAGGAGAAAGAAAATGAAAAAAAGAAAACCAAAGATAAAATGGCTGACTTAAACCTTAATATGTTGTTGTTGTTGTTTGCCGTCGAGTCGGCCCCGACTCATAGCGACCCCTCCTTGGGTTTCCGAGGCAGTATCACTACGGAAGTAGGATTGCCCAACCTTCCTTCCGAGGAGTGGCTGGTGGGTTTGAACCACCAGCCTTCTGGTTAGCAGTCAAGTGCCTTAGCCACTATGCTACCAGAGCTCCCAAACTTTAATATATCAATAATTAACACTAAATAAAAATGATCTAAATAGATTATAAAGAAATACAATGGCAGAGGGGATTAAAAAACCTAAGCCAACTATGTACTGTCTACCAGAAACTCTCTTCAAATATAACATATGCAATCCCAGGGTATTAATGTCTGATTTACATAGGACCCAGTTATGAATCAACCCTCATAAAGGTCATTATATTAAAAATGTGAAGTATATACAATGGTTTATAATAGCAAATGGGCACTACTCTGTGATATGCACCAGAACATCATTAGTATTATTACTGTATTATTATGTTAAAGATATTTTAGTGTATCTGGAAGTGTTTCTTTAATTTTTTATGAACAGAAAGTTACACTGTACATACTAAGACAAACATCTAATAACTGACAATGGATATGAACTGTACCTAACTGTTCCACTTATGTACAAATTCAACTCAGATACACTTAAGAATGGAACTTGTTTGTAATCTGAGGACTGCCTGTATAGGCATGTCGAAAGTAAAAGAATAAAAAAAGATGTCATCAAACATTAATCAAAAGAAAGCAGGAATGGCTATTTTAACATCAGATAAAGTAAACTTCAGAACAAAGAAAATTACCAGACAGAGAGGGACGTTATATAACAATAATAGGGTCAATCCATCAAGAAGACACAATAATCCTAATGGGTATGCAACAAACAACAGAGCTGTAAAATATGTGAAGAAAAAAACAGATAGTACTGAAAAGGGGTAGATAAATCCACAAATATAGTTGAAGACTTCAACACTTCTCTTTTACCAATTGCTACATAAACCAGATTGAAAATCAGCAAGGATACAGAACTCAACAACACCATCAACTAACTGAATCTATCTGACATTTATAGAACATTCCACTCAACAAGAGCAGAAAACATTCTTTTCAAGGGTCTATAGAATGTAACTTTTTTTTTTGCTTTTTCTCTCCCTCACCCATTCACCCACAAATATTCCTACTCTCAGGCTATTGTATACAAAATATAATTTAAAAAATATTCTTAAACCAAGAAAAAGCCAACCTCAGCAGGCTCTGACTCATTCTCAAGTATAATCTTTCTTATCTGTTGTTATTTGACCACTAAGTAGTAACATTTCAGGACAAAGGATCACTTCTAGGTTTTAAAATTATAAACTTTTAGGTTTCTAAAATTGTAAAATGAAAATCATAGTACATTCAAATCATTACATTATTTTACTGAAAACCACTGGAATGAAAAGGTGAGATTCAGCTGAACATTCTTCAAAATTATTTTCAAAATAAAGGTCACTGTTTCTTGGTAATAAATTGACTTCCATCAAGTCACTGTGCTTATGCCTGAGCCATGCAGAGCAGGAACATTCCCCCCCACACACACACCAAGACAAGGCTGCATTTACCTGGCCTGGTCAATTCACTGAAGAGATGAAGTAGAAAGCAGGGGTCATAAAGGTCATTGAGTTCCACTGTGCTCTTGTCTTTAAATATCAATTCCTGTGCATCCTGAAATAGCCCAAAACAAACAGAAATGCACTATTCAACCTCATAAATACTATGCAAATGTTTACCCACTATTTCTAGAATTCAAATTATTACAAATATTCAAGAATATAAAACACGGTTTTTGCCAAAAAGAAAGAAAGAAACACTACTGGTAAATGCAATGATACATTGGGGATGTGCTTTGAAATAATTTGGGAAAGGGAGACTATATATGACATAAATTTAGCCAGCACTGATCATTGTTAGGGCCTGGTCATGAGTATATATGAATGTCTAGTCTTTGTACCTTTGTATAAGGTTGGAATTTTATGTAATAAAAATTTTATGTAATAAAATTTATGTAATAAAAAATAAAAATAAAAATGTAATAAAATTTATGTAATAAAAAATACAATAAGAAAAACAACACCTGTACTAACTGTCATGATTAAGTTCAGGGTACAACTGGAGCCCTTGTAGGAAACTGAAGCAGAATTCTACCCTCCACCCTCTGTGTTCCCCAACAGCTCTTCCCTCGGCCTCTGAGGAGGAACAACAGTATGTGTGGCCGTACCTCGGCTGGTAGCAGCTTCCGATTCTGGGGAAAATGGAGAATAGTCTTCAGCATCTGGTCCCGATCCAGCAAGCGGAGGATGTCTCCAACACTTGGCTGCTGCCACAGTGACTTACCCAGGCTCCGGCATGTCTTGTGATGCTCCACAGCCGCTGGGCCCCATAGCAGCACCCTAGAGCCAGAGAGGTGAGAGCTGACTGGTCACAGGGTCCCACCAGGAATAGAGTTAATAACCACAATGGTGTGCTAGTCTGAGCATGTTCCAGGTGTTGTATCACTTACTTCCACACAACCTATGAAGTACAGGGTGGTGATAGCATTGGTGATGATGACAGAAACTAACACCTAAGTAGAGTGTATGATGTGCCAGGCATGATTCTAAGCCTTCTGAGTATATTAATTCACTTAATCTTCACAGCTATCCCATAAGGTATGTACTGTTATCTCCATTTTGCAAATGGAGAAAAAGACAGAATTAGGAAAACTGCTCAGCTGGTCCTTTGCTCAAGTTGGTAAGTGGCAGAGCTGAGATTCAAACTTGGGAAGTCTGGTGACAGAGTCATCCTAGACCACAACTGCAGAGCCCTGGCTGCTCAGTGATGCTGCAGGCCTCTCCCTGTCCACACATGGCTGGGAGCAAAGTAGGCCTGTCTGGGCCAGCCCCAAGACTTTACGATGCTGTACCTCTATCATTCACACCTCCCCTTCCCACACTTCAACTGCCCATAGAAGCCTACCTCATCTTCTGGAAAATAACACAAGCCTCCTTCCTGCTTCCTTCTTTGTCCCCGCCATCTCCAACCACACCCTGACCTCCACCATTGCTAGGATGTATTCCCAAGCCCTGCTCTGATGAGGGCCATTTCTCTTCCTGAAATGTCTACCAGCTCTCTGCTTGCTATCTCCTGGAAGAATATGAAAATGTTCAGTCTGGTATTTAAGGCCTTGAACCTGCTTATTTGGCCTTCCCACCACCTATTTCACTGTATGATCCAGAGGAGCTGACCTACTCAACATTCCCTGAAGTACTCCGACTTGCCCACCTCCACGTCACCATGCATGCTGTTCCCTCTGCTGAAGCCCCAGGCTTCTCTGCCACCCTCACTTCAATCAAAGTTCTCCCTATGCTTCAGGAAGTCTCCCAGATGCCCCTAAACACATGCTGCCTTGCTCTTGTGCAAAACAGCTGCTTCAAGCACATGTCTGAATCAGATGCCAATCAAAAGAGTTAAGTTTGTGATAGTCACATCCCCTCAACAGATGGGGGGGACTGTCTCATTCCTCTCAGCGTTCCTCAAAGTGTGAGCACAGGACTGTGCTCAACCAGCATCTATTGAATGAAATTCTTCTAAATACAGACTCATTTTTATGCAAGTAAACAATAGTTACTTGAGATAAAGAAGAGAATAATCATTTTTAAGAGGGCACCGCTGCTGACAATGGTCTCTAGTGAGCAGGCAGCTGATGCAGAGGAAATGCCCTGCAGACAAGCACTCTCACTGGCAAGGGATTCATCTATTGAGTGTCACAGAGCTCTTCAGCATGCTCCCGTAATTCAGCCTGCCTCTTCATCTGAGTGTGCTAGAGCGACACTCACTTTGATCCGAGAGGTTCTGTGCTCCTCAGACACACAAAGCCCAGTGAGTCCCACACCCTCATCATACTCTGCTCCTGGGAACTGAGTCTACACTCCTTTCATAGCCAACTCTGTTCATGTGGAAACTCACTTGACTTTTAATCTCTGACTAAGAGGGTGTTTGAATGCAGAAATGGATAGCTAGAACAGCTCTCTCTTTGCTGTGATAAAAACTGCTTCCAATTTCCCTCTCCCTTATATATGCAGGGACACTTCTAGCCCAGAAATGGTACAACTGGCTTGCCACCAACTCCAAAGCATCAAGAGTGAGGCCAAAGCATAAGAGGAAAAGAAAAGAATGTTTAGCCAAGACCTGGGTATTCTTAAGAGGCAGAAGATGTCTGTGTTTTTTAATCTATCAATTTTTTTTGGAGGGCATGTCTGGGCTTGTGACAGTTGGAGCTGTGTGTCAACTTGGCTGGACCACAATTCTGTGTGGTTTAAGCTGCTGTGATGTGGTTATTCCCATGAGGGGATCAGATGATTATGTTTGAGCAGGCAATCTGTTGAAAGGGAGTTTCCTTAGGGGTGTGGCCTGCTTCCGGTATATCTAAGGACATGCTGGGAAAAGAGACATTCTTCTGCGGATTGGCATTCTGTTGTGCTGCCTACAACTGTCTGTGAGTGAACAGTCCACCATTCAGCCTGGAGATCTTGGATTCATCATTCATTGGAGTCAACAGCTGGTGTACTGCCTGCCAGCCTTGAGCTCCAAAGCCCCTGCGGTTGCAAGAGTCTGAAAAGCCTCCAGCTTAACATGGAAGAGCCTCCAGCTTGACGTTTGATCCAGGAACTTTGGACTTGCCAGCTTCTATTAAGTGTGTGAGCCATTTTGCCTAAGATAAATTTCTCTATATATACATACATATATATAAGCTTTACTGGTTTTGTTTCTCTAGAGAATTCCATCTAACATAGGGCTAATATAAACTGTACCCTGAAAAAAAGTATTTTGCAATGGAAGTAGTTTTTTCTTCCCTGTAGAGATATCCTTAAACTATTCCTCTCAGGCCAGTTAGCTCACTTCCTATGTGAACAATAAAACCCTTCCTCATGCAAATATACATATTGAACTGATGTTAAGTTGCAGATCCCAAGAGATAAGGAGAAAATAAGAACCTAGGGAAGCAAAGAGAACAATCCAAAAATGCATTCTATGAACTGCACATTTCATCAAGTGCCTTCTTAATCTCAGCACTCACAAAGAGTGGACAGCTTTTGATGTGAGGCAGTGCTTAAGGGAAAGGCATCAAGCCCAGCTCATTGGGGCCCAAGTGTGCCAGCTAAGTAGGCCAGGGAGCAGCCCCTGGGAACCCAGGAAGAGACAAGACAGAGATAGACAGACAGACAGATCCACTCACATAGCCAAGGGAAGAAAGCAGAAATAATGTTCAGTCAGTACTGCTCAATTTTCTCCCTCCCAAGTCCCCATCTCATAAGTCATTTCCATCTAAAGACAAGTGAAAAAGAGAAATGGTTTCAGAAAAATCAAAACTAAACCAAGACGTGCCAGCCGGGAGTAGTCAGGACCAGGCCTAGGACACCAACCCCAATGCCAATCCCTCAGCAGGGCAGCTAGGCCAGGCAGTTCCTGCCAACAGAGACAGTCCTATGGTGTTAGGCCAGGCTTTTCCTGGGGCAACCTACACTGCAGCTGGTGTCTGAGCCAAAGGAGTTCACCCTGTCCTAAGAACCAGAAAGGAAAGAGAGAAATTTCAAGTACGGAGCTCACTCTGAAGTGTGAGCCACAGTCTCCAAGCTGGTGCTCACCTGAAGTTGATGAGGCTGAGGTCATTCTTTTCATACTCCCGGAGAAGTAGTAAAATCTTCTGGTCTAGAAGTCAATTGAGAGTGTGTTTAACAAGCTGAGTCCCTTATGCATTCTCCCACAATACATTACCTTGTTCTCACATACTCCGCAGGGTCCCACCCGTCCTCACATCCTCACCCAGGTTACACCTCCATCCTCACACACTCCCTGAATCATACACCCTATCCTCACATTGTCACTGAGATCACACCTCCATCCTTGCATTCTCACTCAAGTCACATTCACATTCTCACCCAAGATGCTGAGTGTGGCACCATAGGCCCCAAGAAGCACTGCAAAGTGGCTGCTCTCACAGACAGAGGGGCACATCTTTACTATCGCCAACATCAGGTCCACCAGCGCTTCTGTAAGGAAACAACACTGAAATGCACAGACCTTCAGAGGGTGCACATTCAGAGCAAAAGTCGAAGGCAGTGTTTCAGAAAACATGGCTTCGCTTTTTCCCTGTATTTTATAATTTATTTATTTTTTTTTTAAATTAAACATATCTCCACAATTCCCTCTCTTCCGAGGTCCCTGACCAGGCATGGTATTAGTCCCTCTCTACTCCCCCTCTTGCTTTTAAGCCACTAGATCTTTACTAAGCAATTTCCCCCCCCATGTTTATGTTATCAAAATCTCTAATAATTCTACTCTTACCTGAAAAGAATGCCAAAGCCCCTTTTATCCTCCTACCACCCATACTACTAATTTGGATAGTGGTCTTCTTCAATTTTGGAATTTACTGCAATTTTGTGGTGATTTCTAATGGATCTGGGATGCTAATTTTGTCTCTCTAACCAAAGTATGGCTTGGAGACAGAGGAAACTTGGAATATCTTCTCTGGCATCTATCTGCCAGGGCCCAGGCCACACTGGGGACTCCTGGGCATTAAACACTTACTGAATTAGGGGAAGAGCCTAAACTGAAACTTGAACTGAAGCATTCCCTAGCAGTGAACTGTCAACAGGGATGTTTTAACCCTTTTCCCTTGTTCAGTTTCAATCTTCCCATTAAGATTCACACATCTAAACAATTTCCCTCAGGTAAGACACCCACAATTCTTTTCACTCCTTCTTACTTCCCTAACTCCTCGATTTTAACACTCGCCCACAATAAGACTGAAAGATCTCAAACGCACTTCTGTAAGACAGAATGGGCCTTGAAAAGGGGCTACATTGTGTTTGTCCAAGGAAACATTTCTTGGGTATGGACTGACGGCAACAGAACATTCCAATTATGTTTCAGCAGTGCTTCCTTAACTCTGCAAACACATGGAGATAAACATCGATGCACAACTTGTTTGACAAAACCAGGAGGTAAAAACTTATATCTGAAATGGGAAGGTGGGGAAAAGATCACCTTTTACTTGGCTGTCTGGGTTTTCCTCTCCTTCGGACTTCAGCATACTTGACAAAAATAGAGAATGCTGGATGAGCATCATGTGAACCACAGAGAGCTGGATGAACTTGGTGCGTAGGGGTCTTTCCGGGAAATACAGGAGCTGTATAGCATCATGGAGTGCCTTTAAGAACGTGTGGTCCTGATAACGGAATCTAAGAGGCAAAGGAATAAAGAATTTCACTAAAAGTCAAAAAAAGAAACAAACAAAAAAACTCAGTTGCTGTCAAATCAACACTGACTCACGTGACCCCATGTATCAGAGTAGAACTGTTCTCCACAGGGTTCTCAATGGCTGAGTTTTCCTCTTAGGCAACTTTGGGTGGACTCAAACCTCTAACCTTCAGGTACTGGTGCAATGGTTTAGTGTTCAGTTGCTATCCAAAGATTGGAAGTTTGAACCCACCAGCCACTCCATGGGAAAAAGATGAAGCAGTCTGCTTCTGTAAAGATTACAGCCTTGGAAAACTTATGGGGCAGTTCTACTCTGTCCTATAGGGTTGCTATGAGTTAAAATTAACTCAGTGACACACAACAAGAAAAAGTGTGCTATCTATACCACCCAGGGACTTCTGAACTTTACATAACTATCTGATACACATTACCTAGGTTCCACCATTAACATCATATTAAACTTGCTTTATCATATATTCATTCCATTCAACCATGACCAGGAGTACTTTTGAACACAAAGGAGGGACTAAAGTGTATGTATATTTTTGACAACACAAACATCAACTATTTCTCTCTGTCAAAAAGGTTATAACTCTCCTGAGGTTGAGCTCTGTCACACTCATACGGTGAGTTAGGGAAGTGAGGAGGGCTGAAAACTATCTTCCTGCTTATGTGAAATGCCAAGAGGCAGCAGAACAGCCAAGCTTGAGTATAAGATGACCCTTGCCAGGTCAGTTCAAATTCACATTCACACAGAGCTGCTTCCTCCCTTCCTTTCAGCTACTCATCCATCAAAGGGTTCAGAAGTGTGTTTTTTTATGTCTCGTTACTGTTGTTAGGTGCCACTGAGCTGCCTCCGACTCAAAGTGACCCTATGCACAGCAGAACAAAACATTGCCTGGTCCTGTGCCGGTTCCACGATCCTTGCTATACTTGAGCCCATCGCTGCAGCCACTGGGTCAATCCATGTTGTTGAGGGCCTTCACCTCTTTCGTCGACCCTCCACCTTATAAGCATGACATTCTTCTCCAGAGAATGGTCCTTTCTGATAACATGGCCAAAGTAGGTGAGACAAAGTCTGGCCATTCTTCCTTTCAAGGAGCATTCCGGCTGTACTTCTTCCAGGACAGATTTGTTAGTTCCTTTAGCAGTCCATGGTCCTTTCAGCATTCTTCGCCAGCACCACAACTCAAAAGCATCCACTCTTCTTTGGTCTTCCTTTCTATGTCTTAAATCTCCTCAAAACCCACGAAGGGAATGGCAGCATCATGCTCAAGATAAACCAAGCTTTTTCAGTTGTACATGAATAATGTTAAGAATCACTTAGCAAACAGTGGGCATTCTAGAAACAAAAATTAACCAAAACTGAACAAAATGTTACCTTTCCATAACGGTAATCAATAGTTGCCAATCAATAACCTGACTCACCTTCACTTTTTTCTTTCCTGTGGTATAGTTTTTCTCTATTTCAAGTTTACAGATAATCAGGGAAATGAAATTAATAGCCAGAATCAAATACCATTTCATGACTCTCTGATTGCCAAAAATGAAGGAGTGTGACCACATCAAGCACTAGCACGGACATGAAGAAAAATGAACTCACTCAAATTCTCTCAACAACTCTGGATAGTAATGTGAACATCAGGTAAAACTGAGGTGTGTCCACACTAAAAGCCAGCAACTCTCCTTCCCTGAGACACTCTGACACATGTGCACCAAAACACCTGTGATGCTGACTGCAGGACTATTTACAATAGCAAAAGAAAAAGCAATAATCTCGATGTCCAGCAGTAGGGGATGGTTAAACAAAGTATGGTACAATCGTAAGATGGCCTACTCTATAGCAGTAAAAATAAATGATTTAAAAATGCATGGATTGTGGATAAATCAAAAACATTTACATGAAAAAAGAACATACATAGAATGATTGTTGTTGTTAGCTGCCATTGAGTCAGCTCCCAACTCCATGCACAACAGAATGACCTGCTGCCCGATGCTGCATCATCCCCATGATCATGATTAGCTGGGTATCGGACTGTTATCCAGAGACATTTCATTGACTGATTTTCAGAAGTAGACTATCAGGCCTTTCTTCCTAGTCTGTTTTAGCCGGAAGCTCCACTGAAACTTGTTCAGCATTGCAGCAACATGCAAGCTTCCACTGATAGATGGGTGACGGCCACCTGTGTGACACACTGGCTGGAAATTTGTGTAAAATATCAAACTTCCTAAACAATATTATTTATTGTTTAGAGAGACATACTGACACATAACCAAAATGTGAAAACCCATATGGGCATGACAGAGCTCAACCTCAGGAGAGTGATACCTTTTGCAGAGAGGGGAAAGGGAATGAACTGGAACAAATACAGAACACTGGCAGCACCTATTAAATGTAGGTGCTAAGATATGTGCTAAGACTATTTGCTGCACATTTCTGTATTTTTTAAATATTTCATTTTTTAAGGGCTGCTTCTCTCATCACCATCAGAAGCACACTGTGTGTCAACAGGCAAATTGTTTACCCTCTCAACAACCCATGCCTTCTTTCTCTCTAAAATGGGAAAGACATCTGCTTTACACATACTCAGTGCAATGGATCACTTTTATAGTGTTTCTAGACATGGTCTCGTAACTCCCACCAAATGACTAGATGGGACTATGCAAATGAAGTGATTGTGGCCCACCAAGGGGACTGGCAAGCTTGCTAATAATGTACCCTTGTGGAGTGGAACCATGCAAATTAGGTGTACAGAATCCTAATAAGGGGATTGGTCAGTTTTGCCATCTCTCTAGGCATAGCAGCAGTCAGGACATTAGACGATGTGTAGCATTGGGAAAGTCAACTGCGAAGGAACTGTATCAAGTGCTGAGGAGCAAGGATATCTCCTTGAGGACTAAGGTTCACCTGACACAAGCCATGATATTTCCAGTT